TTGCTTTACTTTATTTATTCGCAGTAGTTGATAATAAAAACCAACCAATCTTTGATTTAAATTGTTTAGGATTTTTATTTCTTTTATTTTCCATCCTTGTGTTTGAATAATTGTACGAAATAATCCGGCTGACCTTCCTCGAGAGACACGACCCGGTGTCGAATCTTTCGATTCTACTCCGGTAAAAATATACCCAACAGCTCTCTTCTCTCCATTTCTGTCTGTTGACGGTCGTAACCGTCAACTTTCCCCACTTTGGGGGGTCGAATCTCCGGTGAGCCATGATCATGCACCGGTGACTCATGAACTTTCACAGTGCTCTTTCCCCGGGGTAAAAACCCATTTTTGGACTCTCTGTGGTTTTTGCCTTCCCCAAGATTCGAACTCCACACCCTGAGCATAGATGAGGTTCATGGCATGTCTTGATACCATTCCACCAATTGGTATCTCTGGCCGTGGATGAATGATGGGAGACGCTCTCCGATACTCGCAGTTTGGTATCTCGCTTCTCTGGCCTCGAATGGGAATCAATCGACTTGGAACGACACACTCGCGAGCTAGTAGGCTGCTTCATCGGCTAATGAATATTTTGGCTATGGAAGGGCACAAGAAACTCGACGATGTTGCTCGACAACGTACGCAAATTTTGCACGGCTCTTCGGCGATGTGTGGGCAGGTGACTCAACGGTGTCTCTTTGCGATACTACATGTGATGCGCGGGAAGATGACTCAGCGGCGTATCATAAAAAACTAATTTTTTCAGGAATTTTGGACCAGGCCTGGGTGACGATGCAGATGACTCGTAAACTTCTCGAGACAACGTTGTAGGCAACTCGACGACGTTGCAGGCGAATGGCACATGGATGCTCGACAACATGCAGACGATGCTCACGCAATGGGCTGACTGTAGGCAATACCTTACAACGGCAACAACTCGTGTTTCCTCGACAACTACACAATTTTCTTGGCAATGAAAAAAATTTCTCGGGCAACACTCTTATTGAATTGTTATAAATTAAATGATCAACTGTGAGGAAATGCTCATAAATAGACGGGAATGGTAAGTGCTCGGTTATGACTTTGGTGCTCAGGACTCGGGCTCAAGGCAAAAAATAGAAGTAACAAACAAAAAATGACCAGATGAACACATAATTAAGTCCAAATGAGCTCGACTTACCCAAAAAAGAACACAAAAATAAGCAAAAAAAAAAAAAAAAGCAAAAAAAAAAAAAATAAAGACATAAAATACAACCCTAAACATTGCATAAAATATGTTTTTTTTTTCCCCTTTTTTCTTAAACATATCGACTTTTTTATTATTTTTTTACCATTTGGATCCTGTAGGCCTTTTTTCTTTGGGTTATTGGCTCGCCAGTTCAACATTATGGAATCAATTTCTAAACCGAGTAACTTTTAAAGAATATATAAATACTATTTTAATGGATATACATAAAAATTATAAATAAATAAGTTAATTGTGTACCTTAAAATCTTATACTATTATATTTAATCATTAATGTTTACCACATAAAAATATACTGTTGAGAGTAGATGACAATATAGCATACGAATTAAAAACGAGAAAGTAAAAACACAAGATTTATGTGGTTCGGCAATTTGCCTAC